TTCAATACATTAATTTGAAATTATCTAACTTAGTAGCTAAACCTTCTTTATATTTATAAGAAATTTTTACATATTGTTCTGCAATTAGCTTTTAATTCCTTTTATTCATTTTTGTCATATACTTTTTAGTTGATCTAGTTAAGTGCCTGGCTCATTCTAATCATTTAACATCTCAGCTTACTTCAATAGTCTGACTCACTCTAATTATTTAATAGCTCAGTTTACTTTGATAGCCTTGCTCACTCTAATTATCTTGATCATTCTGATTATTATAAACATTATGACTTTATAAATATCAATCAGATTCAAATAAATATTCTTGATTTTTTAGATAATTTCTCATCATATACTTTATTAAGAAGGCTATTATATACACTATGAAACTAATAATCTTTGGGTTGAAGACTGTCATTTCTGTTTATATTCTTCTAAGTTTTATTACTATTAAATTACTAAAAGAATCTCAGTCTTTAGGTAAGGATCTGATGATGACTCTAATGTTAATGAGATATAGAAGAAAATCTATAAGAATCTAATAAATAATGATCAATGTAGTTAGCCTACTGATAAGTTTGATGAATTTTTATTTTACTCTTTTCTTGCTTCTAATATAGCTGCTTGACAGTAAGTACTTTTTTTAAATCAGAAAGTAATATTACAATATAGCTACTTGTATATAAATTAAGATTGATTTGTATTACTATACTCTAAAGATTAATCTATTCTGACCTCAATTATATTCAATTACTTATGTTGATCTGATTTAATTCTCAATCATATATACTTCAAAAACTACTTTAATCTGATTCTCAACTATTTCTCTATATTTGACTGCTTATTCATTTTTTATTTTAATCTTCAATTTAGTATTCTTATTACAGTTATCTAATTAAATAAATAAATTGAAGCTGTTGTTTTATTATCATCTTAACTCTAGTTGAATCATGATATATAATTTAATTAATGAAGTTTTAGCTCATATATTTTTCAGCTACAGATCTACTTTTTAGATCAATATTAATAATTCATCTTATTCAAACTCAATTAACATAATTAACTGAGTCAATGAAATATAAATAATATAGAAAAAAATTTAAAAAATAATTAAAGAAGATTAAAACTATACAAAAAATATACTATGACTTTAAATATAGTATAAAATACTTTCATGTGAAAAATTGAGTACTTCTCAATATGAAAAACTTCTGCATACTCTACTTCACTAGATAATTGAATTATAAATTTATTAATTTTTTTTATATTATTGAATTTTAAAATATATAAATATATAAACTTTTTTTTTCATACTCAATATATAATATTTATTCTGTCTTTTATATCTCACTACTTGAACTCTATAATATGAGAAATGATATTACTTCATTTTCTATATTAGAGCTAATAAATAATAAAAAAAAATTTTAAATTGAGAAGATATTAAAGAAAAAGAAATATTAAAATAAGAAATAATACTATATATAGTAAAAGAATTATGAATCTTTTAATAATATATAAAAATCTTTTAAAAATATTTAAAAAATTAATATATTTAATATTTTTGAATAGCAGAAATTATAGTAATAAGTATATTGAACTTACTCTGAGAAGTATATTAAATGTTAATTCTTTTTTATACATGTACTCTTTTTACTACTTTTTCTCAAATGAGTTTTTTGATTATGTGATTTTAATAAGATAAGTAAAATATTAAAAATTATTAAGTTTTCAAAAAAAAATTTATTTTACTATTATCTGAATAAGTTAAAATACTCAAATATATATTTTTAGTTCTCTCTGATATAATTTTTATTCACAATTATCATTGTCATTATATACTATTCAGGTACAGCAATTTTTTTCTCTTCAAGCTCAATACTTTTTTTCTTAGTCAACTTATAGTTTTTTATCTCATACACAACTTCTTTCTTTATATTTTTTTATTTCTCATTTTCAGAGAATGCTATCAGTATACTTATAGCTTCACTCTGATACTGAGTATGACAGACAATATTAATCAAGACAGTAGTATAAGCTTTTACTGAATGAGTAACATAAAAGAAAGCTATTAATACTGCTATTATATATAGTAGTTTAACTCAATAATATGAAATTTTCACTGATCTCACTCACTCTATAAAGAATAAAAAGCTTTGAAGAGTAAGTAGTTAATTCAACTTAGAAAAAAAAGTAAACTATATAAATAATTATCAGTCATCACAATAAGTAAGAATTTTTCTGATATAGTAGTTAAAGATATACTACATTCACATAAATATATAGTTTATATGCAAGATAGTAAAAGTTACAGCATTTCTCATAGTGAGAAAGATTATATATTATAGATAAATTATTCAGTTTCAATAAGTATCACTTATAAAGAATATCTTTAATATAAAATTAATTATATAATCAATAATTATAAGCTATAACTTAGTATATTTATTAATTATTATCACATGTGATAATATTAGATATATTAAAAACAGAAAAGCTTACTTAAAAAATATAGAGATAAATTTTATTATATTAACAGAGATAAGAAAAAAATAAAAAAGATATTAAAATCAGAAACAGCAGCAATTGTAAGAAATTTATAATAATTATAATTATGAAGTTATAAAGAAAGAAAACTTTAAAAAAAATATATTCTCTCTTTATTCTTATAGTAATAAATGCTCTTATGATAATTATCTCATACAATTAATTTTTTAAGATTATTGAATAAATATTATAAGTGTTTTCTTCTACATCAATAAATATTTCATTCTCATATCTTATTTCTATATCAATAAATATCTCTTATCTATATATATTCAATATAATTATCTTCTAGAGCTGCTAAGATCAGTATCTATAAAATAGAGAATAACTGTGATATCAAGATTCTATATACTAGTTTCTTATTCTTACACTTTTTACTTCACACTATTTATCATATTATTTATTAAAGTATTTATATTCATACTGTTTATTAAAGCACTTTAGAATTAATATTTTATAAAATTAATATTATTTCAAGATTTAGTACTCAAAATTAGTACAGATTAATATTTCTCAAAAATTAATTTTTTAAAATCAATACTTTTTGAAGAATAGAATTAGCACTTTATGAAGAATCAAATTACAATATTACTAATTTCTTATTTTATAAAAATTTAGAAATAAAATCTATTATTATTTATTTTTATATATAAATACTTTAAATTTTTAAAGTTTCTTTAATAAATTCAATAATTAGCTACTATTCAATTCTATATATATATTTTATTCATTGCTATTTTTTTCTCTCTATAGTATTTATTACATTTATACATCTATTCTCTTACAATTCTAGTTATGAAGTTTCTCACATTTTTTTTTTTGATATTCAGTTCATTCATTCTAAGTGTTCTTACAGATTAAGTACATTAATATAATTCCACACTAAGTTAGCTATCACACTGAGTCAGTTATCAAATTTCTCTACCTATTAATTTAACTACTCATTCAATTCAATGTATAATTATATCATTAAAATACAAGAAAAACTCTTCAAATTCAGTTGAGCAAAAGAAAAGAATTGAAATCATAATAAAATCTATTTAAAATAATGAAAAGCTCTCAATTTGTAAAGCTGTAAAACTATTTAATGTGTTTAAATCTACTTTTCAAAATTATCTCAAACATCAGCTTTTACAGATGAATTTACATATAAACTTTCACAAATTCTCTACTACTGAAAAGAATAGTCTAGTTAAATAAATGCTGAATTAAATTAAATAAAAATTCTTTTCTCAGTCAGTATTTGTTGAAAATATTACTAAATATCTTCTTATGTTATACAATTTTACTATCTTTACTATCTCTTCTTCTCATGTCAGCAAAAACTAGATTTCAAAACTGATTAAATATTGTATAAAGCTTTGAAACTACTATTTTAAACACTATAATCATGATTGAATCAAGTGTAAAGATCAGCAGATTATAAAAAATTAGTTTAAGATCTTAAAAGATATAATTGCTGAGCATAAAATTGTATTAAAGAATATATACAATTTTGATGAGACTGACTTTACTATGAGGCTCTGTGTCACTATTAAGATCATTACTAATAGTGAGCACTATGACAGAGCAAAGCTCCTACAGCCTGAAAATCATGAATAAGTGACTGTAATTGAATCAGTCAATGTGTCAGAATGAGCTTTACCTTTTTATTTCATTCTCAAAGATCAGAGCTTGTTGAAAGATTAGTTTAAAGGCCTTCTAGAAGGCTGAAGGCTAGATATTAGTTCAAATGACTGGACTACTGATGGAATAGGCCTGAAATGACTTCAATGAGTATTTATTTCAGTAGCAGATTCTTGCAGAGTTGACAGATTTATTTTTCTTATTCTGAACAGATACAGCAGTTATTTTATTCTAGAATTTGATCAAATCTGTAAAAATAATGCTATAATATATCTTTGCATGTTATCTCATTCCTTTCACCTTCTGCAGTCACTAGATGTGGGTGTTTTCTCAGTTTTAAAGTGAGTGTACAGAGATCTAGTTCAGCAGCAAATGCAGTTTGAATTTAATGCCTATAAGGGGCTGAACCCCTAGATTCGCTCTGGCTGGCTGACTCAGCCTAGCCATCATTTGCACATGTGCACGTGATCATGCTATGCGAGCTTGCTTAAGCTCATGTTCTCATCTCATTCTTTTCTTCCCTTTCTCAAGCAATTCGTCCTTGTTATATAGGAGGACTAGCCTCTAGTTCTTAGAGCTTAACCCTTTACAATGCCATTTAAAAGGTAGATTTTTTAGATGTCTACTCTGCAGCATATACTGCAGTCTTCAAATCTCAAACTATTTAAAATGACTTCAAGACAATTGAAATAGTGCTCTTTCAATCTAACTACATTCTTCAGCAGCTGAATATTTAACTATGAACTTCTACTTTCTCATACAGCAGTTCTAGCAATTCAATCATGTTCTGAATACTTTAAATACCTAGTAATTTCCAGCAATTACACTGGCAGATGAATATGATCAAAAGCTTAGTGAAGAATGAGCCTCAAGGTTTTGTGAAAGATTTTGATCAAATTATCCAGATCTGTGAATATGAGATGATTAGTACCACAATTATGAAGAAGCAATACCAGAATATATTCAACATCAATGAGATAGAGAAGCAAAAGTGCAAGAGATTTAAATGTCAAATTGGACAGAAAGTAGAAGGTTTAACTAGTGAAAAAGTTCAAAGTCTTCTAGTAGACTCTATAAAGTCTACAGAGTCTGTTGAACAGTCAGTTATTCAACTCTTCAAGCCTTCAGTTGCTGAGTCTACAACACATATATGAGTGTCATGAAGATGCAGCAATTGTGAAATGCTTGAGCATACAAGACTAAGATGTTCTCAATCAAGTGTAATTTAATTTAATTTAATTGAGCTTTGTTGCATTGAGATAATTTGAATTAAAAACTACCTAGTTGAAATACAATGAATTTGCTAGCTGACTCAATGTGAAATTACATTACCTTAAAGAACAACTTGATTATGTAATATAATTTCGAAAATTTAAATTTATAGAAAGTGAATTTATTGTCTATTTGAATGAATAAATAAAAGAGTCATTGTTTTCATCACAAGTCACAGTCATTACAGTTTATAGTTTATAGCAAGTTTATAGACATATAATTTTACTGCTTATGCTGCTGAATGAGGAAGTTACTTTACTTGATTACATTTTGAAAGAGTATGATAGTGGACAGATTGACTAAACCCCTAAACACACAGTGGCATTTAAAGTGTTTCCTTAACTTGCTAGGACTTAATTACAGGTAGAGGCGTAGCGGTGCGAGGGAGATTAGCCGTTGCTCCGGGCGACGTCACCGCTGCACGTGATAGGAGTATACAGATTGGCTCCATATCCTTGGTTCCAAAGGGATGTTCCGGGGGATTTTTCCGAGGCCGGCCCAGAAAACACAGACGCGGTGGCAGAAGCGGTGGCAGATGGTGATTGGCAGAAACCTTGGCGGCAGACCCCGTGACCCTGTAACCCCGTGACTTCCGTATTTGAACCTCAACTTCTCAAACTCGTATTCTTTTGCCTCCGTCTCTGATCTTCTTCTCAAAACACTTCTTCATACTACTGAACTATACCATATCACTCCACTCTACACCTCCCCTCTCTCTTCGTGACTACTTCTTATTTTTGTGCTATCCCCTTCGCCTACTACATAAAGCCATCTGGACACGAGCCACCCTTGCCCTATTAGAAGGCTCTGTCCTCCTCTCCACCAACTTCCGCGGTAATTCAACTACGATAATATCCCTCCAGAGATAACGCCAGAATACTACACCACATAGACATCGTCCTTCTCCGTCTTAGTGATATCTTTGTATTTGTCTCTCTCTCTTTTTTTTTTTCCTTCTTTTTTTTTAAAAAAATACCCGTCTTTGTTTCCGTGCGTAGTCGTCTTCAACGCGAGGTTGCACCATTAAACAAACGCACACTCAAATAGACACACCACGCGCCTCCTCGCCTGTCCTCCAACTATTCATCTCTCCACGCCACAGCACGGCTGTAGGCCTGGCTGCAAATTGGTACCTATCCTCTTCTGAGCTAGGTACACGCTTACCTTAACCCCCTGAAAAATAAATTCACCCTATCGAGCCACGCTTTTTGTCCTCGAGCCTGCTCACTCAACATGGCAGATGCGCTTGCTTCGCAACTGAGTAGCGTGAAGCTAGGGTAGGAAACACCTCTATAACATACATTAGAGATATATTACATCATTACTAACGCAAATTCACACAGAGAAAATCACCACTCAGAGAAATGGAAAGAACACTTAAAAGCACCCCCAAAAGACACGCGAACTCAAACTGAGGTTAGATAGAACTCAAAAATTGTTTTGCTGCAACATTTGGGGCCCCAGAATTTAGACTTACAAAGGATGTGCCTGGTAGGATGTCACGGCAACCAAAGGGCTAGAGTTCGAGGACTTCTACATCAAACGGGAATTGATGATGGGAATATTTGAGGCTGGTTTCGAAAAACCCTCTCCCATCCAAGAGGAAACTATACCAGTCGCCCTCACTGGACGAGATATCCTCGCACGCGCCAAAAATGGGACAGGCAAGACTGCGGCGTTTGTGATACCGACGCTTGAACGAACCAACCCCAAAAACTCCAAAACACAAGCCCTCATTCTCGTTCCCACTAGAGAACTCGCCCTGCAAACCTCCCAAGTCTGCAAAACTCTCGGTAAGCACCTTGGTATCAACGTTATGGTAACAACAGGAGGAACTGGCCTCCAGGATGATATTATACGGCTGAATGAAGCCGTCCATATCATTGTTGGCACACCCGGCAGAATTCTGGACCTCGCCAGCAAAGGTGTTGCAGACTTGTCAGAGTGTTCGACTTTCGTGATGGATGAGGCCGACAAGCTCCTCTCGCCTGAATTCACTCCAGTCATTGAGCAGCTCCTCTCATTCCACCCCAAAGACCGCCAAATTATGCTTTTCAGTGCCACTTTCCCATTGATTGTCAAGTCGTTCAAGGTCATATTCTTTCCCGCCTAATTTTCCCAGGTTTTTTGCTACTACGTGATATCTAACTATTTTCAACAGGACAAACATATGAGGAACCCTTATGAGATCAACCTTATGGACGAACTCACCCTTCGGGGTATTACCCAATATTATGCATTCGTCGAGGAGAAACAAAAAGTCCACTGCTTGAACACTCTCTTCTCCAAACTCCAAATCAACCAATCTATCATTTTTTGCAACTCTACCAACCGTGTCGAACTACTAGCCAAGAAAATCACCGAACTCGGCTATTCATGCTTCTATTCTCATGCTAAAATGTTGCAACATAACCGAAACCGTGTGTTCCACGACTTCCGAAACGGTGTTTGCCGAAATCTGGTCTGCTCGGACCTGTTGACACGTGGGATCGATATTCAAGCTGTCAATGTTGTCATCAACTTTGACTTCCCTAAGAATGCTGAAACGTACCTTCATCGTATCGGTCGTTCGGGTCGATTTGGACATCTAGGCTTGGCTATCAATCTTATCAATTGGGAAGACCGGTATAATCTCTATAAGATTGAGCAGGAACTGGGTACGGAAATTCAGCCTATCCCTCAGTCCATCGACAAGAAACTTTATGTTTATGATACACCCGACACAATTCCGCGGCCAATTACAAGTACACCAACCCAACCGCCAAAGCAGCAGCATCAGCAGCAGCCACAGCAACCCTCTGCACCTGCACAATATCCCAATAACCCAGAAGGTCACAGTCGCAGGCAAGGTCATTCCCAATACCCCTCCCATAGAGGTCGTGGTTCCTATCGTGGAGGCCGTGGCCAAGGACATAGAGGCGGCCATGCAGAAAATCATCGTCAAAATGGAACTGGACCGCGGCCAAATGCCGCCGCGTCCGCACCTGCGTCATAACCTGCCTTAACAGGAGCACCAACGTCTTAGTGTCCAAGATTTGAGCTGAACCTACCCACCCAGTTCATTACTGTTAATTCACCTACCTTCCACGGCTACCAGCACTCAATGATACACCTCTATTCCACACCTCCGTAACCTCGGATTACCACCTCACATTGACCGCGTTTTTCATCATCGTCCTCCTTGTCCTTTGCAAAGTTTTCACCGATCAGCGCTATGACCTTTTCTATAAAGTCTTGTTGCTTTTTGTTGCTTGACACGATCAAGATTTCCGTTATGTGCATGATTTTATGGTGATGTTGCGGGATATGTATCATATTTTCCCCCACTTATACCTTTTCTTCTTTCTCTTTGAATTTATTTATTTTTATTTTTATTTTTTTTTCGTCTTCGGTTCGGCATATCTGGTGGGATTTTACCCAGGGTTGGATGCTCCCACGTCTACTCGGGAAAATGCATCTGGAGAGGACCGCATATGGGTTCCCTGCGATATATTTCATTATCATGGACGATTTTGCGACGGCGATGTTGCGGGTGATGTCTTCGGCAAAATGAGCACAGGTTAAAGGGAGGCGTTTTGGTCTTTTATTTATAGGATTGTGGAGTTAACCCTTCTTTTTTCGGCGGTTTTACAGCAACGACACCGTCTTTGGTTGGGGATTTTCAATTTTGTTAGTTGGCGAGCACCAACCTCAGCGATTATTAACTGGGCTATCGAAGAATTTCCCCCGCGTACGGATTCCCCCCCTTTTTTTCACTTCACGTTTTATACTTCTACCCCTTCTTACACCACTTTCCCTATTGCACTTCACCCCTCACCCCAGGACCAATCAGATATGTTTCAATCCTTGCGATACCACTCAACCACCTTCGCTTTGAACCTCTCATCCCTTCCCCCTTCCCCCTTCCCCCTTCCCCCCCCCCCCCCCCCCTCCCCCCTCGAGCTAGCGGAAATGCGCCGTGGCTTCTAAAGTCACCCTCAGCAGACAGTTTTGCCTCGCGCTCAACAACCGCGGATCCGAGAACAACCAATTCTAACCATTTGTCGATTCTGCTTGTCCCGGACCGCAGACAACAGTCGGAATGCCTTGAAAAGATCAAAGCACAAATGAAAGAAATAAAGAAATTAAAAACCAAACAAATGTGTTTAAAAGAAAGAAAATAAAAGAAAAAAAAGATGAAAAAAAAAAAAGCCACCGTCAGCGGGGGAGACAATAGGTGTGGATATATATATTGGGCGGACTTAGAATGGACGAGGAGTACTATCAGTCTCATCCAACATCTTTACAACTATTGTATGGTACAGGCCTTCTCAATATGTGAAGCATCTACCTAGGTATTGAAAAATGTCAAATCTTGTCTCTCCTCTGCCAAGACTCTTCATTCCTTGGGTTATGATTTGTAGGTGACTGTTGTCTATTTTCTTGTAGCAAATCACTTATGTGTGACTTGAAATGTGGAAATTCATCTTCCGAGCATGCATAGTTTTTCTTTTAAAATGTGAGCTCTCAACATGATTGTTTGATGCACTCTTTTGTAGACACTCATATGAGCTTATCACACATGTCTATGAAAATAGATAGAGAACTTCAAAGAGAAGAAGCTTTTCAATTCCAGTTCTAGAGATTTAAATCTTTATAGAGTTCGATAAATGCTTTCCTTAAAAATGTGATAAATTAACTTTTATTAGACTTTACTACCTATAGTCACCTCTCTGTCCTCAAGATAGATACTGAAGAAAGGAAAAGAAAGAGTTAGAGAGAGATAGAACACGAAAACAAATAAATACTTCGATTCTTCCACTATTATATATATGTTACATACCGCCCCTCTGTACACACAGTGATGCCTTTCACTCTAACTCCAGGCATGAGGCACGCCATATCCAGAATTTTGGGACAACATCCATGGGTAAGTTAGTTAAAAGGATGACAGTGTAATTTGAGTTTCTTTGACGTCGTTCTATAACTAACTAGCCCGCCTTATATAGCCGCGCAAGTTGGTTAAACCGCCCCCATCAACTTCCCGTTGACTCGAATCATAAGAAGGCGAAGCGATTGTATTTATGGAATATTTATTTAAATTTTCGCGGGTCATAATAGTACATATTTGCCATGGCGACTTCAGAAAGCGATCGAAGGCCAAAGGTTCTAACCTACCCATCCCCCTCACTTGACCCTTTTTTGAGGCTTCAGAATAATAGCTAACTCCCAACACACGCTGTCTGTTACTTTAACAGCCGAGCGCCTTGCGGTCAATTATCGCGGGCTCGACGGCCGGAGCTGTTGAGATTTGTACGTCAGCCAGCTCCCTCCCTCAAAATATTTACATTTCCGTTTCAAACAAATTGAGCAGAGGAGAGAGATTAATTAAGCTAACTGATATATTTAGCAATTACATATCCTGCAGAATGTATGAGGCCCCAGGAGTTTCGCTCCCGACACACTCTCTGAACCCCGACTATCTCTCCTCCTCACAGACAACTGTCACGTTAAAGAGCTCCAAGACTGACGATCGCACACAGTTGCGAAGACAAGAACACAACTCAACCGCCGGCTACCTGATTCGAAGAAGCTTCCTTGGCCACCTTTTGGCAAGGCGTGGTATGCCGGGTGCACGACGCTGATCGTTGGGAATTCGCTAAAGGCGGGAATCCGTAAGCTGTCATTCTCTGCAGTCTTTTTTTTTTTTTTTTGGGGGGGGGGGGGGGGGGGGGGGTGGAAGGATTCTGAAAATTCTTTTTAGGTATATGTTATGTGTAGTAGGGATATGGGCTAATTTTTGGTTATAGGATTCGTAGCTTTTGATTTCTTCAAGTCGATATTACAAGATGAGAACGGAAAGATATCAGGACCCCGCACTGTCGTCGCGGGTTTTGGAGCTGGGTTTACGGAGTCGCTGTTGGCCGTTACGCCGTTTGAAAGTATCAAGACGCAATTGTACGTTCTCCCTCCCTATCTTATGTTTCCTTGATCAAGTTGTTTGCTGTAACGTACCAAAACTCCTCATCTCCGCCGACTTCCTATACTCCGGATTAATAACCACTTTTTACGCGCTACACAGAATTGATGATCGCAAATCCCCCAACCCACGCATGCGCGGTTTCTTACATGGCACCTCGGTAATATTCCGTGAACGGGGGATACGAGGATTCTTCCAGGGCTTTGTGCCTACGACGGCACGGCAGGCGGCCAACTCTGCCACACGGTTCGGGAGCTATACCACCATCCGCCAGTTTGCGCAGGGGTATATTGCTCCTGGTGAGAAGTTGGGTGCTGCAAGTACGTTTGCAATTGGGGGCTTGGCTGGGTTGATCACCGTGTATGTTATTGTTATGGCCTCCCTTGTCCTTTTGTGCGCTGTTGTAATTCGATAGGTGTGGTTCCCCAGCGGCTGACGTTCTGTAGTTATGTGACGCAACCGTTGGATACGATTAAGACTAGGTGAGATTTTCTGGGTGAAGTTTGGAGAAGAGTGGTTATGGTCTCGCGCGATTGACCAGAACTGACGTGAATTTCAGAATGCAATCCATCGAGGCCCGAAAGAACTATAAGAACAGTTTCTCATGCGCGGCAAGCATCCTCAAAAATGAGGGAATCCTAACGTTCTGGTCTGGCGCTCTCCCGCGTCTGGCACGCCTAGTCATGAGCGGAGGTATCGTTTTTACCATGTAAGCTTCCTGACTATAATCCCTTGATTTGTCATTGAGCAAGGCGTCTAGGGAAATCCAATACTAATTTGTATTTGAAACAGGTACGAAAAGACGATGGAGGGATTGGATCTGTTGGATCCAGAGAGGAATTATATTTAGATATTCTGGTTTCATTGCATTGGTTTATTATAATACCTTTTTCGGTCACTTTGGGTCTTGAAAAATGGGCTGCATGTAGAATATAGACTGGTTCATAATTGAACTGGTAATTTTTTGAACACCATAATTGTTGGGAGGAGTGGGGGCTGTGCGCATTAAATTCTATATATCATCAGTTCTTATAGTCCAAGGGAATTGTCTGTTGGAAGTCTCCTATTCTATAATACAGGGAGGATTGAGCAAGAAATGTAGAGAAATGGAAGGTATCATACACCAAAAATAAAAGCGTAAATAGCAAAATGGCAGCCTATCCTCAGGAATTCCCCTTCGCTTTATCCGTCTCCCGCGCCAGCTTCATCTGCTCCTCCGCAAACACGTTACCAACCTCCTGATCCACAAGCCAGCCCCTCACACTAGCCATAATCTTCTTTAACCCCTCACCACCCTCCATGATATCCACCAGGTTGTGCAGCGTCAACCCACTCCGATGATCCGTACATCGATTCTGCCCAAAATTGTACGTGCGGATCTTATCACCCCTGCCCATCTTCCCCACACCACCCATAGCGCCCCGACGCAGCTTGACCATCTCCTCTTCTCTCGCCTCGCGTCGCTGCTGGGCAATCCTAGCCCTGAGCAACTGCCACGCCTTGCGCCGATTCTCATGCTGCGACCGCGAATCTTGCATCCCTACCACAATACCAGTGGGTATATGGGTTAACCGTATGGCAGACTCAGTCTTATTAACGTGTTGTCCACCAGCACCGCTCGCGCGCATCTTCTCCACATTCACCTCTCGCGGGTCAATATAGAAGTCGGAATTTGGATCATCAAAATTAAGCTCGCCGTCCCCTTCCTCTCCATTTCTAGGGAAAGAGGGTAGAATCACCACGCTGACAGCACTGGTATGTGTCCTCCCTTTACTCTCCGTTGCAGGTACCCTCTGCACACGATGCACACCCGCCTCCGTGCGAAGAGTCTCATAGCTGCCCGGTGTCTCTATTTCCATAACAGCTTCCGCCAGCCGGTCTTCTGACCCGCCACTCGCGCCGGCGTTTTCACTCTCTTTCTTCAGCAGTGTGGCACGCAGGCCACGATTGGCACAGAACATTGTATACATGCGTAGAAGTTCGTTGGCGAAGATGCCAGCTTCGTCACCGCCGGCACCAGGGCGGAGCTCAAGGAGACAGGGCAAGTCTGCGAAAGGGTGGCGGGGGATGAGGGCTTGTTTGAGGTTTTCAGAGAGAACGGAGAGGGAGGCCGTTGTTGTTTGGAGATCTTCGAGGGCGAGGGAGCGGAGGTCAGAGTCTGTGGATGAGTCCTCGAGGAGGGCGTTAAGTTCTGAGATAGACTAGATGTATTTGGGTTGGGGACGTCGTTAGCTAGATATTCTTCCGCTGGAGAGACTTTACATAGGATTGCCAATGTGCAGAAAAATTCTAACTTCATGTGCCTTGTCCCATTCTTTTAATGCGGTGGCCGTGGTGGCTAGTTCTCCGACACGTTTTGCGGTTTTGGGATTAAAGCTCTCGGCCAGTTTTGAAGTGAGGGATGCATGCTCATCGGCAATTGATCGCGCCCTGTTAAGGAGGACGGGAGATATCGATACTTCCGGAGACAAGGCTGCATTTCAATTTTAGCTTGTATACAAATAAAGTACAAAGCATGGTCCCTTGAATAGATATACCTGTGGAACTAAAGCGGAGCTGTTGAGACCATGACTTCTGCTGTATCAGGCGCAGAGACCGTGACAGACATCTGGAGCATATCCACGGCGCATTGAACATACTCGAGGTTGAATTAACCCAGGCAGATTGTTCAATGCCCGTGTAGTAATAGATAGATAGATAGATATACAGATATATACTCCGTACTCCATATAGATCTCGAATGATCAAACGTTGGGTGTAACTTATGATCTATATGGTCAATTCTTGCTCGGAGTTTCTTACCTATTTTGGGCTGTTAGGGCTATTAACACGTGACCATATGCCTTCCGAAAATAGAATACCGGACTCACATATACTCCGGTAATTTTACCGTTCGGGCGTAAAGGCCAGACTATTATTTACCGGTGTCGTCTTCAGATCGTGTCTATGGCAATGTCTATATATCTCTCTCTATGGTCATCCATATCAACTTCGGCTTCAACTTCGACAACTTCAACCTTGTCTTCTTCCCCCGTATTCCCTCTGCCCATTTTCTCTATCTCTCACACACGCTGTCTCTTTCAAGAGTCTGTTGTCTTATTCTCCATTGCCTATTTGTGGTTTATAGAACTCATACTCTCCCTCTTGCCTTCGGGCATTATTTCTCCTAGGCGCATCCGCTTTTTCTCAATGACTACTTTCAACTCTTCGCCATGATCGTCTCACTCCAGACCCTTACTTTTCTCCTTGCTGTCATTTCTGCCACCAACGGGCTCCAGTCATCTGATATCCCGTCGGATACTCCGCTCTCATCCCTCATCTCCACCGCAAAAACACACCTCAAAAATGGAGCCCCTCAAGATGCGCTGCCCTATTTTGATGCTGCAATTTCACGAGACCCTGCAAACTACTTGACTATCTTTCAGCGTGGGGCCACCTACCTTTCCCTCGGGAAAAGTGCAAAGGCCTTACAAGACTTCAACGAGGTGCTCAAAATCAAACCCGACTTCGAAGGTGCTCTCTTGCAGCGGGCCCGACTTAATATGAAAACCGCAGATTGGGCTGCCGCAAAGAAAGATCTGGTGGCTGCCGGGAAAAATACCGCTGCGGAAATTGCGGAACTGGACGAAGCCCAAGGAGCAGCTCGCCTGGCTCAGGCTGCAGAGAAGAAGGGTGACTGGGAAGCTTGTGTCTCTCAATCTGGAGTTGCGATCATGAAAGCGCCTCAATCATTGCCTTTGCGACAGCTGCGGGCACACTGCCGGTTTGAGCGAGGAGAAATTCAAGAAGGTATCGGTGACCTGGCTCATGTTCTGCTAATGGCACCGGGTTCAGTCGAGCCACATCTACAAATATCCTCCATGCTTTTCTATTCATTGGCGGATACGGAGCGGGGGATCACACAGATACGGAAATGTCTCCATTCAGATCCGGACTCTAAAGTGTGCAGTCGTCTATTTAGAAGGGAAAAGCAAATTGCGAAACAGCTGGCTACCCTCGAGAGCCTTTGTGAAGGACGGAAATTTAGCAAGGCCGCTGAGCTCCTGGTGGGAAACAAAGACGATCCAGGGGTGCTTCAGGATGTAAAAGATGATGTGAAGGCTGCTCGTGCAGCTGGACATATACAACCAAAAGCGCCAAACTTACTCCATGACAATCTGGTGGAGAAGACTTGTGAAATATACAGACAGGTTCGTACTTTTTAAAAAGGAAGCTCTCCTTCTGTTTATGAGACAGAAAACTAAATCTGCAATAATTTACAGATGAAATCGAAGAAGAAAGCACGAAAATACTGTACCGAAGCCTTGGAGCTGAACCCTAACTCTCTCCATGGCCTCCTCTCGCAAGCTGAGGCTCAAATCGAAGAAGGTGAATTTGAATCAGCAATCAAAACCCTAAACGACGCCCGAGGACAACACGAAAACATCCAAGAACTCCAATCACTTCTCCAAAAGGCCCAGACCCTCCTCAAACGCTCGAAACAGAAGGACTACTACAAGGTTCTCGGCGTCGACCGCGATGCAGACGAGAAGACCATCAAACGGGCCTATCGCAAGATGACCAAACTACACCATCCAGATAAAGCGATATCACACGGAATTACCAAGGAGGATGCGGAGAAGAAAATGGCTGCCATCAACGAGGCATATGAGATCCTTTCAAATCCAGAGTTACGGGCCCGTTTCGATCGTGGAGATGATCCTAATAATCCTGAGGCACAAGGTCATCCGTTCCAGGGCAGTCCGTTCGGCCCTGGTAGTGGCGGGCAACAGTTCTTTTTCCAGCAGGGGAGCGGACCGCATCATTTCAAATTCCAAGGAGGGTCGTTCAACTTCCCTGGTGGATTCCCATTTGGTTAAGATACACATTTCCGTCTTTTCGTCTGCGTTGGATTCATCACAATCTCTTTTTCTGAATCATCGTCTGTTATATGCCAGGCATACAGGAAGCTTTCTTAGCTTCCAGTCCTTACGGCTAGTAAGGGTATGCATAATCTCATATTTTCTACACTCATATATTTTATTTTATTTTTTTTTACCTGGTTTAGAGGAGAAACTTCCAGCCTATATCGCTATTAAGCTTTGTGCAATCGGCGTTTTAGGTCTTTAAAACATGTGTATTCCTTTTGTTCTTTGGTTGGAGTGGGGGAAAAGGCGTTTTCATCAAACACAGAAGAAACACTAGGTTATGGTTCCAAGTCCCAGTTTCTTTATTTCTTTTCTAGATAACTGTCTAATTGATTGGTGGTTTCTTGGGGGCAAAAGACGCGGGGAGACCTTACTTGGAATCGGATTTTGATTTCAGTATTAATGAAATAAGAATATTCTTCGATTATGATCTTACCACCTTTTTCTCCCTTGACCTGTTGTAATAATTACACTTGTGAAACTCCTGCAAATCTGGTCATTGAGCCAATATCATGGCTCCCTTTTTTCTCCATCTGCCTTTGAGGGAAAATAGAAATAAACACAATATTCCACCAACTCCTCAATTTCTGAAAAGAAATACAAAAATTTTACACCCTGAATGAAACTTAACACTCGTGCAAAACAAGAAGAGCAGACAAATAAGAGGAAGATCCGGGCGCCCAATAAGAAAATTAAAAATAAAATAAGGTTAAGACCAAAAGCCCTTTTTAAGGACAACGAACGGAAATCAAGATCACTCCCTCCTTGCCTTCGGGGCATCCGTCAACGGGACATAACTAACACCAAAAATTTTATCCTTAACCACAGTCCCATCCTCCTTCTTATCCACAACCCAGATATATTGTGAGCCACCAAGGCCAAAGGATCTCATCCCGCTCTCCCCTCCCGATTCCACGGGGATAAACATCCTCCCAGGCGCACGCAGCTGCTCAATTAAGGCTGGGTGCATTACCGCCGCTGCCGCACCAACGTGAATGGCATCATAGGGTCCCCCCTCAGGGTAACCTTTTCTCCCATCGCCAAGGACAAAGCGCGCTTTACCAGAGTTGAGGAGCTGGAGGCCCGATTCTGATTTGGCCATATTTATAGTGGCCATGTCGACCAGCCCTTGTATGTGGTCGATGCCAACGACTGTGCCATTTGAAGGTGGGGTGCCGGTGGTGGAGGTGCCAGTAATGAGATTGGCAAAGACGTGAGTTAGATAACCGGAGCCGGAGCCTATGTCCAGGACACGCGAGTCTGGACGCAGGAATGGGAGGAGGTATTCGCAGGCATGGACGTGCATGTGCGGTGCAGAGATTGTGGCAGCATAGCCGATTCCTTGTGGGGAGTCTGCGTAGGGGTTTGCGGGGCAGTAGTCGCCGCGGTCGACCTGGATGGGGCCGTTTGGCTTAGCTTTCAGTCAAGTATAGATTCATGGAAAATACACGGATAGAGCTATATATATTGAGTCTTCATGCATGGATGCACAAAGGCATGCAAATAGATAAGGGAGAGATAAAATGAGAGAAGGTACTTACTGCAAGCATAGCATCTCTTACTCTCTCATGTTTAATAAGACCATTCTTGAACAAATTATTAATCAACTGCGCGTTAGATTTTCCCGAACTCTGCCAGGCCATGTTGAAGTATCTCCCGATGAATCGGTGCGTGGTGGTGGCGTGTAAGAGGGAAGAGATGCTGCTACAAAGATATTGGATATGCTGGACTTGTTGAAGGTGGTGAATCTGAGAAAAGGAGGTGGTGTAGAATAGAGATATGAGGCCAATGAAGAGAGCAAGAAATATATAGATGGTCCGGAGAGACACTTTGAGGCTAGGCGGGCCTTTGGGGGTGTATTGGATTTATCCTGGTGGAGAGTGGATGAAGCATCTATGGGTTCGGTTGTGTGCGGGGTTGACAAATACTGATACAAAGAATTGAGAGGATCCAAAGACTGCAGACCTATCAAGCTATCACAGGCCAACCAGTATGAACTGCGGGCAGCCCTTAAAGAAGTAGTGATGTGGAGAGAAGAAATCATGAAATATAGTAAAAGATGCTTGTGGTTGGTTGTTGTGCAAGTTGTTACGTCAGGGCTCCCGCTAAGCTGGAAGGAGGAAGAGGCGAAGATGTGACGACAACGCCGAGCTCGAGAAGTAAACGAAGAAGAGGGGACAAATAAAGTATGGAATGAACTATTAAAAGGAGAAACATATACAAAGTAAAAAATAAATCATGATGTTCACATTAAAAACATTGAGCACTTTGCTGTCTCTATCCGCACAATGCTTTGTGATAAATAAATGACAACCCGCCACCCCACCTCTTGTCCCCACCACCATTTACTCCCCGAAAATCATCAGAACCGAAGGAATAATACACATATATATACACAACAACATCACACCAATTGCATTTCGTCAGCTGGCTCAACTGCCTCCTCCTCCTCCTCCTCCTCCTCCTCCTGCTGCTGCTGCTGCTGCTGCTCTTGCTGCTGTTGCTGTTGCCGCTGCTCTTCAGTTACCTGCTCCTTATTCTTTTCAGGAGCTCGATCATCGCCCTCTCTATCCCCAATATCTTCCCAGGGCAAGTCCTCCGTTTCGGGATGAGTGAAAAAGTCATGGCGCAAAGCCTCTTTAGCAGTGGGCCGTTTACTCGGGTTCAGTTCCAGGAGCGTTGAGAGAAACCGGGTTGCCTGCTTTTCGCTTTCTGTGAGTTGCTCCACGCAGCTTGACCACAGCACTATCTTTTCCCAGGAGTACCCCTTCTCACCAATGGTGGGGATGGTGGTTTCGAAGACTTGTCCGTGCAGTGCTGCGGCAGCTCTCATGCGGCGCCCCCCGAATATGCTCGCAATTTCAATCATGGCATCTATATCGTCTGCGGAATTGAAGAAGGGAAATCGTCGGCCAAGGAGGGTCAGCAGGATGACTCCCGCGGACCAAATGTCGATTTTTGTCGTTTGCGATGTGCATTTGAACAAAACCTCGGGCGCGCGGAAACCCCTGGTTCCCGCACGATTTGCACGTCGGGAGGGGCGTGAGTCGTTTTTGGGATAACCCGTCGACATCGTGTTTGACTGCAGACTGTTCTGGAGCCACATGGCGCGATATCTGCTTGCTGTGGAATTCTGCGCGCAGTGACACAGTTCGCCGCCAACGTATTCGCGCTAATTGATGAGGGGTTGAGGTTTTCTTTTTAGCATGTGCACAAATATCTCTGGCAGTAATACACACATAAAATAGCTTACCTCTGCGAGGCCGAAATCAACCAGAACACCCCGTCGAAGCTTTGGGTTATATAAGAAATTCCTGGAAAAATGTTGTGAGCAACGGGAAGGTTGGTGTTAAATAAATTGTAGATCCAACAATCACTAACGTTGGTTTGATGTCCCGGTGGATTATGTCTGCTTTGTGAACGGCATGGAGGGCGGAAAATAGAGAACGAAAGTAATGACGCATATCAGAGACGAGGAATGTGCGGTATTGAACTCGAAAATCGGTGTGGGGGAAGTATGGCAGGACTGCGATTACCTGGTCGAGGTGTCGAAAAGCCGTGATGAGAGGACACACAGAACGGCTGCCGTGAAGGTCGTTCAGAAGCTCAAGTTCATTTTGGATTCTGCTTGGGCTACTCGTTACGTAGATCTTTTTCAACGCAACATAGTGTCGCCTCCGTTTACCCCTGAGATTCGATTTGGATCTGGCTTTGTCAGATGTGTACATGTCTCTGTCATGATCTTGCTCATCCAGCTTGCGTTCCCAGTCCCAGTCATTCTCATATTCATCATATAAAAGATCTTCGGCTTTGTAGACCGTGGAGAACGTCCCTTTGAGAAATGTCAGCACTGGTGGGCATATTTAGGAAGTTGCAAAGATATAGAAATTTTTTTTATATCTGGGGGCGTTACCAACCCTCCCCCGTGCGATTGATCAGTCGATACCTGCTGGAGATACCCTTGAAAGTGCTCTCTAGCTTTCTCATATCTTCCGCCACAGACTCGTAGGGTTCGACCAGTTCACTGTCCTCAGAAAGATCCGACTGCTCCTCGGTCCCTACGCTGCGAGAGTCCTCATCTGTGGGGATAACCTTTTCGCCAGATTCAGTGTCAAAGGAGCGACGATCATCTTCCCCTTCTCCAGCCATGTTCAGCATTCCATCTGTGGTGTATTGGTCAACAGGATAGTGGAGAGTGGCCATATTGAGGCGCTTGGGAGAGAGTTGCACTGTCGGATATAATTTGACAGCTGCGCTCAAGTGCCCAAGTGTCTTTTTGCATGTACTTGTATTGTATGCACTACTGGTATGGTGATTCAGAGAGAAAAATAGAATCTTCCTGGCTGTGGAGTAGTGGTATCAATGTCAGTCACCAGGCTGAGAGCAATTTCTTCAATTTCTTCCCGCCTTGTTTATATTTGTTGTCTGTCGCGCCCCAAATGTCGCGTCCAAAATATTCCATGCTGCCCTCTCTGTTGGCCACATTTTGTTTCAACCCGTTTTTGCTGGTGTGACACCCAGCGTAAAAACAGCATTGGACAGGCGCCGCATTAGGGGAAAGTGGTAATTATCATACAGCATCCATACAGGTTGCCCCCGCCAGAATAATTACACAGCCAAACACTCAAGAGCAGCTGCCGAGAATATTCCTCAGTCCAACCAAAGCAAAAGGAAAAACAAAATAAAAAAGAGAACGTTTTTTAAAGTCTGTAGATGTGTTTCTGAGGCTGAGCTACGGCACTACAGTAAATTCCTTATCCCAGAACTGACCAGCTCTCTCTACTCACCTAGCTGCTAACCAACTGCTTTGGTGCGTTTCCATTGGTACGCCCCACTCCCCCTAATGGCGGGCAAAAAACAGCGCCGCCTGGGCCCGCCCAAAGTGGCAAAACACAAACAAAACACCACATCCGACCCTGATCAGCCTCATCATCAACGTCAACTTCGAAAGGAAAATAAATCTCAATCTCACTCTCAATTTCATCACCACCAGGATCGGGACCGGGATCAACCACCTTTCCCGTTCTCTGTGCTTTCGATCTCCCGCAATTCTCCCCTTTTCCGTCCTGCGTCCTCTTCTCGTGTGCGTTCTACTACTACTACACCTTTTATATGGAGTGATGACACCATGGATTTCGACATAAACGAGTCTCTGAAATACTACCTGAGCGATCCCACCTCCGTACCCACCCCAGAAGCAGATCCTGAACTTCTGGACTGCGAAAATGATCCCGAATCGCTGACAACGCCCTTGATCAACGGGGTTCTCAATCCCGTTGTCGACGCGGTAGCTGAAAACCCAGAAGGCCTCGCAAGAAGTAGCTTCTTCGACTCTTTGCAATTTCTCCTCAAGTGTGCACCAACCTATCTTCTTTCTGAACAACGAAGTTATCATCATCAAGAACCAGACTCTGAACTTTTTAAACTCTGTAGATTCTCTTCCCTGCTCCCGACAAAGGCTCTCAGCAAGATCCTGGATCTTGTCGTCTCGGGCCTGGCCGTCGAAGCCGATATTATTCACCATGACATCGAGTCCGACGAAACAGACGCTGTTCAGCACCACAAGCAACTTTTGGAAATGTACGCTTTCCTGCTGCAATGGACGCTATCTGCTGTTGAGACAAAACTCGCTGAAAAACCACCCGATGCAGCCCCAGCGCGGCGCGGGGCCGGAAAATCGAAATCGAAACCCAGTTCAACCGATGAGCACTGGGACTCCTCCCCCCAGATCCAGATTGCCATGGAAGTTATGTGTAAAGTATTGAAGTTGAAGCTGGGGAAGATCTTCGTGACCACCTCCGATCGTGACACATTTGTCAACCTCTTTACCAGGACAATATACTTGATTTTAGAAAGCGAACAACGAGTGAAGAGCATGTCCATTCGAATGCATGCATTTAAAGTGCTATGCATTGCTGTAAAGCACCATGGCCATGCTTTTGGTAGGATCTGGATTTTAACTAAATACCTTGTTTTCCCCCTAAATTTCCTTTTTTTCAGTCTAACCAACTTCCAGGAGCGCAAACGTCAATTGTCCAAAGTCTCACATATTTTGAGCATCTTTCAGAACCAATGGCGGAGTTTCTCCATATCCTCGCGGAGCAGTACGACTATCCACAGTTGTCAGATGAAATATTGAGGTACATGAAGAGCACTTATGGCATTGAAATTGATTGTTTACTTATAGATTTGACAGGGAACTTGGAAACAAGGAGTTCAATTCAAATGACACCAAGGGCCCGAAATCAGTGTCTGCGTTTATTATCAGACTCTCAGAGCTCGCGCCGAGATTGATCATTAAACAGATGACTCTGTTGGCCAAACAGCTTGACAGCGAGGTGATTAATTTCTTGCGTCCCTTCATACAGTAAAAAAGAAAAAGAAAAGAAAAGAAAATACGGTATTACTGACCATGATTCAGGCCTATACTTTGCGATGTGCCGTAATCGAAGTCTGCGGCAATTTAATATCAGATTTAAGCAAACAGGAAGAACGAAGTGACAATTATACAACGCAAATTAATTCATTTTTTGACGTGCTGGAGGAGCGATTTCTGGACATCAATCCATATTGCCGATGCCGTGCTATCCAGGTTTATATGAAGCTCGCCGAACTTGACCAAAAATTCCCCAAAAGGCGACAAACCGCAGCTGAGCTTGCCGCTAGAAGCCTAGAGGACAAAAGCAGTAATGTTCGCAGAAATGCAATCAAATTGCTCGCGAAATTGGTCTCGACTCATCCGTTTAGCGTGATGCATGGAGGTCAACTGTCGTATAAGGAGTGGGATGCAAGATTACAGGCCGTAGAGGCGGAGCTAAATGGGCTACGGCCTCCTCCCGAGACACCAGGGCTGGGCAATGATGCCGATTCCACTATCGTCGATAGCGAACTCCTGGATGATGCAACTCAACTGCCCGATGACTCTCCTTCAAAGGCTCCCAGAATGACTGAGGAACAAAAACAGGCCGCAATGAAGAAAGCCGAAGAGGAGGCGGCAACCTCAGAACTGCTGGCGCGACTCCAGCTGACGAGAAAATATTACCTTGAAGCAATTCGATTTATTGAAGTCCTACACCACGCTTCCCAAATAGTTTCACAGTTGCTGTCCTCCCGAAACAAGAGTGAAGTGATTGAAGCAATGGACTTCTTCGTTATGATCGATGCCTATAAAGTTGAGACCTCTCGAACAGGCATCCGACGAATGCTCCGGTTAATCTGGACCAAAGGGAACAGCGATGAAGGTAAAGGAGTCCAAAACCATTTGATCGACTGTTACAAGGGTTTGTTTTTTGACGCTCCGGACTCCTTCAGTCCCAACGATGCTGCGAACTATATCGCACGCAACATGATAAGTCTTACTTTTGGTGCCACTCCTGCTGAACTCACCTCATTGGAACAACTTCTAAGTACGATGATGAAAGTTGGTCATATATCAGATCTGGTTATTGCCAAACTATGGCAGGTGTACAGTGTCCAGAAGAAAGAGATTTCTAAAACTCAAAGGAGAGGAGCAATTATTGTTCTGGGAATGATTGCGCTTGCTGACCCAGAGGTTGTGGTGCGAGAGATCGAAGCGATGCTTCGTGTGGGCTTGGGAGGCCTTGGAAGGGCAGATCTCGTTCTCGCAAAGTACACTTGTATTGCTTTGAAAAGAATGAAACCTGGTCGACAGGCAAAGTCGAAGGACACTTCGTCTTCTAAATTGCCAAATGATCACGCTGTTGTTACCAAACTGGCAGCAATGATAGAGATCGACTCGGACAGCAAGGAGTGGTATGGTGTAGCAGAACATGCAATCGGAGCCATATATGCCCTCTCAAAACACCCCGATGTCCTTTGCTCCGAAATCCTACGCAGGAAAACCAGGTTCGTTTTTTCGGCTCATGTACGACCCCGTTCATCCCAAAGCAGTGGAGGTTCCAGCGGCTTTGAAGAGCCTCAAACCCCCAGAAAGAAAACAACCTCCTCCGTTCCACTGTCCCAATTACTGTTTATAGTCGGACATATTGCTATCAAACAAATCGTTCATCTTGAACTTTGTGAACTCGATTTCAAACGTCGGAAGGCTGAGCAGGAAAAGAGCAAGAGTGCGGAGCCGGCACCCCAAAAAGATAATAAACCTTCTGAGGATAATGAACTCGACCTAATTGGTGGCACAACGGAAGATGATTTCACGGAAGCTATGGCTCATATTCGTGAACGCGAGTTATTATATGGACCGACCTCATTGCTCACCAATTTCGGCCCTTTAGTAGCTGAGATTTGTGCCAATAACAATGCGTACCCCGACCGCAATCTTCAAGCCGCCGCCACTTTGTGCATGGCTAAACTTATGTGCGTCTCCAGCGAATATTGCGAGAAGCACCTACCTCTTCTCATCACGATAATGGAGCGTTCGGAAGACCCCATCGTTCGAAGCAACGCCGTCATTGCACTCGGTGACATGGCTGTTTGTTTCAACCACCTTATCGATGAGAACACAGACTTCCTCTATCGACGGCTCAACGATGGCGATGTCTCTGTCAAGCGCACGTGCCTGATGACACTGACATTCCTCATCCTTGCCGGACAAGTGAAAGTTAAGGGTCAATTGGGCGAGATGGCTAAATGTCTTGAGGATGATGACAAACGGATTGCCGATTTGGCCCGGATGTTCTTTACCGAGCTGGCTACGAAGGATAATGCGGTCTACAATCACTTTGTGGATATGTTTAGTCTGCTGAGCACAGAGAAGGGACTGGAGGAAGATGCGCTGCGGAGGATTATTAAATTTTTGGCTGGGTTTGTTGAAAAGGTATGGAATACCGTCCCTCGACCCCACTATTTGTTGAGAAAGATGGGCTATGATGTTAACTCTTTTTTCTCTCTTTTTAGGATAAACATGCCAAACAGTTAGCTGAGAAGCTAGCGGCAAGATTGGCCCGGTGCGAGAATGAAAGGCAGTGGAACGACGTTGCCTATGCCCTCTCTCTCCTGCCCCATAAGAATGAGGAGATCACCAAGACAGTTACCGCTGGGTTCAGAGTTGTCAAAGCGAACGCTTAGGTTTGGATCCCTGTTCTTCTTGTTCGAGGTCGTCTTCTCTTATACATGCCTGTTTCACCTTTCTTTTTATTTTTTATTTTTTATTTTTTTATTTTTTTGGCGTCGTATATACGTGTTACATGTGTGTTGTTTTGGACGTTATAGGTGCACGTGTGAAATTGAACAACGGTTGGCGTTTTAGGGTATTGCTGGTCGGTTGATAATATATTCAAATTGGCTTGGATGGCATTTGCTGGGAGGGACAATAATGTTGGGTTCCTGCTGGTTTTCCTATCTTTATAATATGCGTGGCTATTGACAGTTTCATGATTTTTATGCCTTGTAGTGTTGCACACTCTGGTTGTTGGCGATGACTGCTTTTTGAAGGTAGATGGAATAAGAGAGTGCGTGGTCGAAAATTGTATAATCCTGAATGTGTATATGCATGGGATGCATATTTGTTTGCGTTGGTTCGTATGTTTGTAAAGGTATATGTCCGTGTATATATATCCATGGAGAAGATGTTCAAAGTTTAAACCAAACTATTCAACTACGAATATAACAATCCAAATACCAGAGAATACAGCGAAAGGTCAATAGTGGAGATGCGGATGGTATAGCCATAGAATGGAATAGAAGAGATTGCATATTTAATGGAAGTGATAGAAATGGACTGATGATTAATTAAAAAGCTAAGGGGTAGAACCGCAAAGTATTAAACTCGGAACAAAAAGAGGAATAAAAAGAAATTGTAATCATTGAATAATCGACAGGAAAAACAACCCGTTGAGGAAAATGCGAAGCCCATGCGCCGAACATGTATGTACTGCATGTACGCACGTATTCGGGTCAAGTCAATCAGGTCAGTTGTAGCAACACAATAAACCAAGCCCTTGACCCTCCTACCCACAATGGAAGTTATTATTTTCCTCGTTTTCGCCATCCCCCCCATAACACCGTACTGTATTACCATTATGATGCAATGCACAAGCTTATGTACCGAACTAACCCAATTCAAAACCAGAAGAAAACCAAATAATCCCAAGAGCCCTTTTTCTATGCATCGACCCCACCACTCCCCTCAAGCCTGAAATCCCCCTCATGCAAGCCCTTCAGCACCCTCTCCCCTTCCTCCGTCAGCTCCGGTTTACCAGACGATGCAACAGGCACAGTGAAAAACCGGGGCTTCCACTCCTCATTCATCTCCTTCCTTGCAGCAGCCAGCTGCCTCTGATTCTCCTCGAGCTCCTGCTTCAGCTTTGTAGCGAGACTGTACTTCTTCTCGCCGATGGCGGCGGTGACGCTAGACCAGAACTTGCGCGATTCATTGGGTAGCTGTTGGTCTGCTGGCGGGACGACTTTGGAGACGGGAAAGAGAGGAGCAATGTCGATTAGGAGCAGGCGTTTGTCCTTTTCTTTTTCCTTTTCTTTGCTTTTGCCCTCGTTCTTCTCATTTCCTTTAGATCCGTTGTCTTCCGCGGTGAATAGGGTGTAATAGATCTTCTCATGCCAGCAGCCGTCGATTCGTGCCAGGATATCCGCCTCAGGTACATCTTTGATCCTGATCTTGTTGTCGTTTTCCGGATCGTAGCGGAAGATAACGCCAGACACTCTATTCTGTGCTTTCCCTAACCAACCCTCATCGAGGTACTGAAGGATGGCTTTTATTCGTGTCTTGGCACAGGTGATATAACAGGTATCTGCGACTGTGATGGACAACGAACCACGGAGCAGACCGCCCAGATGTGCTGCAGGATGTGTGAGTTGATATTCTTCATTGTCTCGATCCCGCAGTGTCACGAATATGCCTAAGTTGTGTTGACCGGGAGTTACGCGGATGCTGGTGCCAGTAAACTTGGCGCTGATCTGATCGAAACCACGGGCGGTGATGCCTCGTTGAGGGCAGTCTACATAGAAGGCAGACACAGGAGGGTGGTGTGAGGTCTGTTCGGTTAAATAGGAGATTTTCACTTGCTCTGTATTGCCATTAGCGGTGACAGTGCTGGTAGTAGTGCCGCCGTTGGGTACTGAAGGTGTGATTGGGCGTTCCGTATCCTCTATTTCCCAGTTACACTGGATTGAGTGATTAGCACTATTATCTCCGCAGGTGTTAGGCGAGGGGAAATGAAAAGGGGGAAGGGGGAAAGGGAAAATATCCCATTCTTGTCGAAATACACACCCGGAAAAATTCGCCCAAGGCAGAGTTGTATGGTTTGCAAGGTTTGCCTTTGATGTATTTCTAAGGCTTCCTTTTTCAGCATGACAATTACTCAGCAAGACAAGGTGTTCTCTTCCCCGTTGTACAACTCACGAGATCCTTTGTAAACCAAAACCGCAGGACTTCCAGCATCCGACCAAGGTGGTCATCAGATTTCCCGATGCTGTCACTGTTAATTAGCTATATGTTCCCATACAGTGGATCACAGATAATAACGTGCATATTAGGGTCGTACCTGACGAATGTTTCCGGTCGATCTAGGTAATTCCAGTACTCTAATAATACATCGGTCAGGCGGCCAAGCAGTCTGTCAGCTGGGCATGTTCTAGAAGTGACCATAAGGCGAGCAAGGGGTAGGAGAAGGTTATCCAAGAAAGATAAGAAAAATAAATTTATGAAATTTCACTGCTCACCCAGATTTGGAGTTGGTTCAAGCAGCTGAGCCGGCAGTGAAAAACGGACAGTAGCAATATCTGACACACCAATGAACCTGTTTTTTACATAAATGAAGAGGTGGAATTGTATTAGCAATCTGGCGAAGTGGATTCTACCGGTGTTGGAGCTGGATAACGTATAGCCAGCCCTTTTGCCCCTTTCCCCTTTCTCCCTTTCCCAGATAAGATATAACCCAAAAAGGTTTGCCAGGAACTCACTGTCTAAGAATCGCCAGGAAGGTTTTCAGCTTGGATGAGTCATCTGGAGGTTTCTCGGGAGCAGTTGAGATGTTGTCTACGGACGTTGCTCTTCTGTCGTTGTCGTTACCCATGGCGGAGCTGATGGAGGATGTGGCTTCGGGAGGGTCGAAGACGGAAGAGGCGCCCGAGGAGGAAGACGCCATGGGAAAAAGGAGCTTATTTAGGGAGTGGATAGCCTGAGCAGGATAGGGATGATAGATGAGGTGGTTACGAGCAGTTAGGGCAAGGTTGTTGCGGTAGGGGCAGCGAGGGTCATGTGTTAAGTAGATGGAATGTACAGTGCAGTACAGTATGCGTATATGTGATAAGGGAATTCGTTAAAAGTTGTATATTATAAGCTGTAAGCAGCTGTCGTATAGTATACAAGAGCTGTATAGATAGATGTGTCCTCCATAGTTGTTGTTGTCGAGGTGTGGATGTTGACGTTGATGTTGGAGTTGAGAGGAAAAATAATGCTTCTTATCGGAAAGCGGTGACGTCGTATGTCTGTTTGTATCAGTACGGTCTGTGTATCGATGTACGGTAACTAAAATGTCCAGGCAACTAGCGGCGGGTATTACATCCATGTGCGAATTATTTTTGGACCATATAACATTTCAGGTACCCCCGTCCTTTGGGCCCTGAGTGTATGGTACAGAACATTACAGTACAGCATGCTTCTAGCTTTCGGTTGCCGAAGGGACAAGCTAAAAGTATGTAAGAAGGCAGAACGGGGACGAACTCTGAGTGCCTACAGAGATATGTACGTAGAAAAAAGAAAAATATTATAACGATGAACTCTATTGACATAGAATTAATAGATATGTTGGCTGGTATGCAAGTAGGTAAATAACATCTAACAACAATAAATATTTATTTACTACATACTATAGTCGAGCTCACCCATGCTAGCGCTAGGAAAACCCCCCAATCGAATCCAACCCAATCACTTTGCCACGAGCAGCCCCGGATGCCATGGATGATGTCCCGGAAGGGAATTCCTCATCATAGAAACCTCAAAAGGGGTAATAATCTACATGCATTGATAATATATGCATATGATTTGCGTCATTTTTAATAGTATATTATATGCCCTGCTAAGCCGCTTCCCCAAAGTCATAATGCCCAGTCTCTGTAGCATGCTTCGTAGCCCCCCTCTCACCCACAAACTCACCCCCACACATGTTACACCGGATTCGAAACGACGCAGTGTCGGTGAAATAGTGTTTGGCTTGCAGGATCTGGCACAGCTCCACCGCCCGCTCAAGAATGACAAGATCAACCGCATCGAATATCTTAGTGTCGAACTCCGGCGGTGCATAGGCATGCGTATACGGCTCGTCCGACGGGGAGAGGGCAATGGTATCATAATGGATTCCCGAATACACAACGATACAACGTGTTGGCCTCCCCTCGTTAAACCGGTCGACGCGCAGCGACTGCACGTCTATAGAGCAGATTTCGACATCGAAATGTTTGCTGAGTATGCTCAACTCGATCCCTCCACCCCACGAGTCCTCCGTCTGGATCCAGCGGCAGTAGTCGTCTGGTGACTTTTCTAGTACTGCGGCTGTATACAGTTCCGGCTGCTCTTGGATGGTCTGTGCGATTATCGATCGCAGCTCAGTTACTGCGTCCATGGCCCCTATCACTGCGCTGCTGACGGCTCGGAAGAGGCAGGAGTTGTCATCCGGCATGATGCGGAGGACGACTGTGCCTCTGTGGTCAGGCGAAGGGATCTCCGGAGGGTCGTTTTCAATGGTGGTGTTTTCCTTGCGGGTTAATGATAGTGGTTTCGGGATGTCTGATTTGGATGGAGTGGTCTGCGCAGTCTGCGCAGTTTGCGGAGTTTGTACAGGCCTATTCGAATTCCCGGGGAGAGCGACATTTGAAGCGGGATTTTTTTGTTTTTGTTTTTGTTGTTGTTGTTGTTGTTGTTGTATCGAACTGGCTGACGTGACGGCAGCAGCAGGCCCTGTCTCCCTCTTGCTAATAATGAGTTGTTCTCCGTTGAGATTTGTGCCGATTCCCCTGATAAATTCAGCCGGGTCGAGCTGGTCGAGGTGCAGTGGTTTGGGGGGATAGCCGTATTTGATGTCATACGATGCCAACGCTGTTTTCTCATTAATTTTAGTTTGAAGGTCGCGGATAGTTGCGTTTTCGTCTAGGAAGATGGTGGATTGGCCGCCAGGGCCACGGATGCGGATTCTCATCGTCCGGACCAGACTGAGGCTGGTCTATGCTAGTCTCCTGTATTATATCAAAAAAAAAAAAAAAAAAAAAAAAGAAGAAGAAGAAGAAGAAGAAGAAGAAGAAGCAATTTGTTATTTAGTTGATGGTGGATATTTAATATGGTAAAGGACAGGCTGTGGTTCTGTATAAATAAAAAATTTGGTGGGCAGAACAGACAGTTAACCCAAGGTCTCGGGATGCAGGATGCGGGATACGGGATTGCAGGATGGAGGAGTTTGATTCAAGTCAGACAAGGGCAAAACCCGGAGTGGGCAAGGGTCAATGTGGAAAACAAAAGGGTGTGGAGAGGGGAGAGGTGCGTTGTCTTGTCTACACTGATGATGATGTCCTTTTTTTAAGTTGTCTTAGTCTCTCCAAATCGCTGCGTCATCATTTGTTGGCAGTCACTTGTCGCTTGTCGTTTGTCGCTTATTCTGAGCCGCTTAGAGGCCTAATATGCTATTTCGGAATAACATATATCCGATACAGCGTGGCCTGTATCAACCAACTTCTAAATATCAAATATCATTTGTTTATTCAGCCCAGGGATTTACTTCCTTCACACCCCACTCTCGCAAATAGGAGGGACAAACACCACGCGCGTCATACTTACGAGATCAGTTGGTGCTATTCTTCTGGCGCATATTCACAAGCATCATCGATCCTACCAGCTGATCCTAGCATATTCAGGTCTGTCCATTCTGCATCATGACAGAACAGAGTGCTGGGTTGGAGTTCCAGCCCACCTCCGCCTCCGCTTCCGCTCCCGCTCCCACCGCCGAAGTTCATCAAGGTATGACGCTCATCCAGCAACTCTCAGAGCAGGCCCATCAGGCCGAAGATCACATCGAATCCGGACCTTCACAGTCTCCAGCCACCCCACTGCCCGCATCTAAATCAACAGAATCAGATTCAAAACCAGATGATGGATCAAAACCCGCAAACCAAGTCACGGATGACCAATGGAGGTCAATGTTTGATGTAGTCATGGCCATCTACGACTACCGCGAGCCTGAGTGTGTTATACTATGTGCCGTTTTCCCTATCTCATTCTTTTTACTTCTTTTAACAAAATATATAGTGGACATGACCCCTCGCGCCTCTTCCATCGCAGTGTCAACAAGCGCAATGTCCCGGACTACTACGACGTTATTAAAGAGCCCATGGCACTCAGTGTTTTGAAACAAAAGATCAAGAATAAGACATACACCCATTTCGCGGAGTTTGTAAGAGACTGCGCATTGGTATGTTTTCTGTGATTATCTGCTCGTTCCTCTTATGGCGGATATGTCAAACGCTTTACAGCTTCCTGACTTAAAAACCTTTTATCTAGATCCCTCATAATGCGCAGACATACAACCGCCCCAGATCACAAGCATATGAAGATGCTCTCGTTATCAAGGTTCGCTATGGCACTCTGCCTTAATGCTCTTACATAACTCTAATATATTCCCTTTTTTAAAAAATTTAGGACGTCTTTATTTCTGAATTTCGTAAGCTTGTCGAACAAGGAATAATTTCTTCGGAAACGGCTGAACTTCCGGACTTGGGAGAGATTCCTGAGGCAGACCCACTACCCCTCGAAGAAGATGAGGAGGAGGAAGAGGAAGAGGACGAGGAAGATGATGAACCTGATGACTCAGATGATGAGGGCACCCGTCGCAGACGGAGACGGCCTGCCCGTGGATCTTCTAAGAGAGAGGCTGGCACCAAAGACGACGGTAAAGCCACTGACCCTGAGTTACGAAAAAAGCGTGGCCGCCCACCTCGTGTTGATACTCCAATGGAGGCGCGGATCAAAGCTGTTTTGAAGGGCATACGCAAATTCAAGGATTCCTCGGGACAGCTCAAGGTGCGCCATTTCGAGCGGCTCCCCGATAAGGCTGCCTACCCGGACTACTTTTCGGAGATCAAGGATCCCATGGCTATTGATCTCATCAAAAGAAAATCTAAGAGAAAAAAGTACAACTCTGTGGACCATTTTATGAGGGATATGGACCTTATGTTCAACAACGCGAAGGCGTATAATCAGGTGAACAGTCAGATATACAAGGATGCCACCGAGTTGCAGTCGGAAGCACATAAACTGGCTGAGCAGGAGAAGAAGAAACCGGACAGCGAGTACCTGATGGAAGATGGACGCCTGCCCTTACCAAATGGTATCTTGCATAAAGGAGAGCTTTGGAAAGTGGGTGATTGGGTACACATCCAAAACCCCAATGATGTGACAAAACCAATTGTTGCGCAGATATATCGAACCTGGCAAGACTCGGAAGGGCAGAAATGGGTTAATGCTTGCTGGTACTACCGCCCGGAACAAACTGTACACCAGTTCGAAAAACACTTTTACCCGAACGAAGTCGTGAAAACAGGGCAGTATCGAGATCACCGCATTGGGGAAGTCGTTGATCGATGCTTCGTTATGTTCTTCACCCGCTACAACCGTGGGAGACCGAGGGGTTTGCCGCCAGAAAAAGAAGTTTACGTCTGCGAAGCCCGATACAACGAAGAGAAACATAAACTCAACAAAATTAAAACTTGGGCAAGCTGTCTTCCGGACGAAGTTAGGGAGAAAGACTACGAGATGGATCTATTCGACGCACCTCGGAAAATCAAGAAGATACCTAGCCCGATCAAGCACCTCCTAAAGGAAGATGCAAAGGAAACTGACGATATCCCAAAGCCAACCTGGGGAGCAGAAAATGCACCACCGATTGTAGGGGCAGTCCATCGTCGACCAAGAGAGGAAAATGCAAGTAATTAATTCCTCTTTTAACTTGGCCCTCTTGTATCCGATGCTAACAAATATTTTTGCTGGTTTAGGACTCGCCACCCCCAGAACCCACTCCTTCACCTCCTCCACAGCTTCCACCTCCTCCCGTAGTACCAGTAGCTGCCCCTCGACAAATGCCCATAAACCGTCCTCCAACCCGCCAGAGTATTGACAGCCAAGGAGACTACCGCATGAGTGCCAGTCCACTACCTTCCCTATCAGCCCGCTCTCCAAGCCAAACAGTTCCAAATATCCCCGCAACAGCTACAGGCCCTCCACCACCCATCACGCTAACGCGGATGCCACAACCCTTCACGCCCCAGACAGTCGCTTCGGCCCCTGTTACCCCGATCTACCCAGCCGGATACCCAACCCACCGCCCAGGTCCCTTCACCACACAGACCTCCCAGCCCATCCCAATCTACCAGCAACCCCCGCCCATCTCACCACAACCCTACTCCGCCCCGCACAACTTCCCCGCCTACCAATCCAACCGCTACCCCCATACACAACCACCACAGCCACAAATGCATCAAGTCCAGGCCCCCCACCTCCCACCCAACATGTACAATTCCAACGCCCCCCGACCAGTCGAAACGTTCATTCTAAGCGACAATGCCAATGCGGCAATCCCAGAGGATATTCGCAAACAATTCCACTGCGACGAGAAGGGGCGTGTACTTTTCTTCACGAGTCCGCCGCTTGACATCGTCCCGCCCGTGGAGCAGACGGTATTAGGACATTCGCTACGTTACCTAGCGGCAAAGGAGGAGCGGCAGAAGAAGATTGAGAAAAGGAAGCTTGAGCAGCTCGAAGAGGAGAAGGAGAGGGAAAGGGAGAGAGAGGAGGCTGCGAAGCGTCACAAGGAGACTGATGGTGATACGATAGCCACGGCAGATAGGAAGACGCTTTCCGAGCTTGCTGTCATGGCGGCTGTGGCGGGTATGAAGCAGGCTGATAAGGACTGGTATGAGGAACGGTATGGGAAGGAGGATGCTGCGAGGGTTAAGGCGGCGGATGAGAAGAGGTATAAGGCTGTGCTGAGGAAGAAGGCGGAGGAGAATAAGGCGAGGGAGAGGTTTGATGTTAGGGAGCCGGAGGCTGCGGTGCCTGTTGGGTCTGGGGGGATGTTTATGAGTGTGTGATTTTTGTTGGATTTTGTTGATTTTGTTTGGGTGAAGCGGGAGGTGGTTGTTTTTTATATGGTATGACATGGGCTTGCAATTCACTTTTTCTTGTTTTCTTTTTTTACCTTCTCATCTTTTGCGATGCGTCACGCTGGATTTCTGGATTTGTCCTTTTTCGGCGTCCGTGTTCCACCTTTTCTGTACAATAGATATGTAGAGGAGGAATTGAAGCTGCGATCTTCAACGATAGAGTTATGGGTTGAGTCGAGGCGTCTTCTTGGTTTTCTTTATACGGTCGTCTTGTTAATTTTCGGCTCCCTGAGCTTCCTCCCTGCCCATGTACTGACCACGAGTTCTCCGTCCGCGTTTCTGTGAAGGAGTTGTTTCTCTCCATCTAAACACTCGGTGCTGGGCAATATACTTCTTCATATCACATCAGGTCATGAAAGAAGTGTCTTGGACAGATTCATTCGAGACCTCTTACACCGCTCTAAGTTAAACATCAACGTAAAACATATAGATGCTGCGGAACGATTCGCATGGGAGCTTCTTTCATAGACAACGCCATAGGAAATATACATTATCTACATATATGTGCATGAATGACTAGCTGGATGAAATATAGATAGATACATAGACATTAGATTAGACATTAATTTTGTGATGAGATTAGAGGTAGATGAGGTAGACAGCTTAATCTGCACCCAAATGAAATAGTTATTAAAAAGAGGTGTACAGGACATTCATACAAGTTGAAAAGAACACAGCATGAATGACAATTAAGTAATTATTATATATTTATGATGGGCTATGAATATGTTAAAATTGTTGGTTGGATGAGAACGTTGTTGCATTGAGATCGGATATCACGTGACCAACGGGCAGCCTGCTTACAGATAAATCGACAGGGGAAGATCGACGGACCGACGGACCGACGGAAGGGAACCATGAATGTATGTATAGAGTTTGACACGACAAATGATGAAATGAGAACGGATATATAAAACGCTTGACAAAGGAGATGAGATGAGACAGATGGATTAATAAAGAAACTTGAACTGATGGTATCTATATATATATATACTTAAAAAGACTCGCGTTTTTGTTTTGTTGGGTTTCCGGGTTTTGTCGAGTTTTACATGAATTATTAAGATGACAAAATTTGCATTAACTGAGGAAAAAGAGAAAAATAGTGGGAAACAGTTTTAACAGTGTGGAAGAAACATCAGGGGGGGAAACAGAAGAAATGAGAAGACACATGAAATGAACGCAACAAATATGCATATTGAAGACTTGGAAAATAAGAGAAAGATGTTTATAGTTTGTTTAAATGATAAAGTTAACTGATTTATCATCTAATAGTTTAAATCATTTTATAAATCTCTTTATCTTGATTGATAAAAATTCAAATCAAGCAATAATTAATAGAACGTATATATAAAATTATATAAAATCTATTTTTAAACTTATAAGCAGTTAAAAGATTTATATTTTATATTATTAAATTTATTAAAATATATTAATATTTATTTTTTTACTTTTTACTTTTATTTTTTTTTAAGTAATTAATTTTTTTAAAAAAGCTAATATATATTTTATAAATAGTAAATTAATTATTTTTTATTTATAAATATTATTTATTAATTAAAAGTTATTAAAAATAATTTTTTAATTTTAATTATATATTTATATAAATTTTAATTATGAAAATTAATAATCATTTAAATATTAAATAATTTTTTATAAAAATATTTAATTTAATAATAATAATTAATTTTAATATTTATTTAAATTTTTATTAATATTCTTTTATAAGTTCTTTTAATAAAAGTTTTTTATTTATAAGTTTCATATTTGATTAAATAAAAAATAAAGAGTTGAAATGCATTCTTTCTCTATATATTTAATATGTTTTTATCTAGTGAGAAATGAAGACTTAGATAAAATATAAAAGAGTTATAAAAATTTAATATATTTTAATCAGAGTATTTATTGAATGAGTCATTTTAAATTTTATTAATATTTTATACTAGCTAATTGAAACATATTAATTCTAACAACATTTACAAATAAAAGAATACTAATAAAAAAGAATATAAACTTAAAAGTTATTGATATGAAATGAAAGTAAAAGAGAGAAAAATCAAATATATATATAACTTAAGAAAGAATTCTAATCACTCAAAAAGTATTAACTAGAACTGCTAAAGCTCAGAAGCTCAATCAGCTTGTTGAAAGAGAGATTGAAATTTCAAATCTGAGAACTAGAAAGTTAGCATTAGCATGCTGTAGTAAATATAGAACATAGACCTCCTGGCTGCTCGCAGGCCTAAGAGCATATCCTATATAAGTTCTATATAATTCCTAGCGGTAGTTGCTTAATTTGAAACTTATTGAACTTGGAGTGGGGAGGTAATCCGCCCAATGATGTGATCCGACCAGTGGTGGATTACATTATAACTATAACTGTGGGCTGAAATATAAAGATGGATAAAAATTAAGGAAAAAAAAAAGAGAAGAAAAAATAGAAAATAAGACAAAAAATATAAACAGAATACTTTTCCCTCCCATTTAGGGTAATATTTGTTGCTTACGCCCGCCCACCACTATACAGCGACTCAATTTTCCTTCAGAAGAGTCTTCCCTTTAGCGTCAGCACCGCCATTATTACCCTCTTGCTGTCCTTGCATCGCTGCCGCCTGTGTATTCTCCTGTACCTGCTGTTGTTGCTGTGCCAGTGGCTTTTGTCGTAACTGTCCCGCCGCCGTAGCCGTCGAACCATCCTTGCCCTTCGTCGAAGCCTTATTAGCATTAGTATTATGATTATGACCCGCACTGCCGGCCGTATTACTTGAATTCCACACGGTGCTATTACGCTTGTTATTCTCTTCCTCCTCCATGGAGAAGACAAGGTCGCTCTGCTCCTCGTCAATCCTGCTCGTGCTAACGGGGGATGAAACGCTGCGATCAAGTCTGCTGCCCGTCGAGGCATGTCGGGCTGAGCTGGGATGTAATGACGTGCTGCTGAGCTGTTGGGAGATCATGGACATGGAAGATTGGCGGGACGGGCTGGATATGAAGGGGGATACGTCGCCGGAGGTTGGGCGGCTGCCGATGGGGCGGAGGTTGGGGCTGGGGCTTGCGGCGTGGTAATTCAAGGAGGATTCGCGCAGAGGGGAACCGACGTGGCCGAAACCGACTTGTCCTTGCCCCACTTGTCCCTGTCCCTCTTCTTCCTTTCTCTGACGCTGTTTGGCGAAGATTGCGCCGAAGCGGGACGGGCTCGAGGCCAGTGGTGAACCTACCCTGCCGGATCCTGCGCTTGGCATACCCAGGCCGCTGAAATCTCTAGCGCTGTTGAGGTTGCCGTGGTCCTGTTCTGTTCGGGATAATCGTCTCATTCTCTCTTGTGGGGTCAATACGTCGTCATGGAGATTTGGTGGTAGGTAATCTTCTTCCAGAGTGAAGCTGTCATCCCAGCCATCCAGGGCAGTTGA